ACCAGCAGCGGCGTGCCGCGGAAGAAGAAGGTGAAGCCCAGCACCGGCCAGGACAGCAGCGGGTTGCGGCTGACCCGCAGCAGCGCCAGGCCGATGGCCAGCAGCAGGCCGAGCGCCACCGAGACGAAGGTGATCTCCAGCGTCAGCAGCGCGCCGGAGAGAAAGCGCGGCAGGGTCTCCCAGATGAGCTCCAGGTTCATCGCCGCCCCCTCAGGTCCGCCGCACGCCGCGGTTGGCCCAGCGCTCCAGCCGGGCCTGGACAAAGATGGACACGGCGGTGATCACCAGGAACAAGAGCGCCGCGGCGAGATAGAAGGTGAAGGGCATGCGCGTCGCGCCGGCCGCGATCTCCGCCTTGCGCATCAGTTCGTCGAGCTGGATCACCGACATCAGCGCCGTCGCCTTGATCAGCACCATCCAGACGTTGCCCAGCCCCGGCAGGGCGTAGCGCAGCATCTGCGGAAAGAGGATGCGCCGGAAGATCAGCGGCCGGTGCATGCCGCAGGCGACCGCCGCTTCGAGCTGGCCGCGGGGCACCGCCAGATAGGCGCCGCGGAANNNNTCGGCGGCGAAGGCGCCGTAGATGAAGCCCAGAGTGATGGTGCCGGCGGCGAAGGGATCGAGGTCGAGGCGGAAGCCCGCGAAGGCCGGCCCCCAGCTCCGAACCACCTGCTGCACCAGGGTCGGCACGCCGTAGTAGATCAGCAGAATCAGCACCAGCTCCGGCACGCCGCGGATCACCGTGGTGTAGGTGTTCGCCGCGATTTGCAGCGGACGCAGCGGCGTCAGCTTGGCCCAGGCGGCCAGCAGGCCGAAGACGATCGCCAGCGCCAGCGACAGCAGGCCGACCAGCAGCGTCATCTGCAGCCCGTCGATCAGCGTCAGGCCGCGCGCCTCCAGCGCCGCGAAGCTTTCCATGCTGCCCCCGAGACGGCGACCCGCGGGTCCCTGCTCACCGAGCGCCGCCGCCCGGCACCGGCGCGGGGCGCCGAGCCGACAGGCTCGAGACGAAAAGGTGGCGGGGCCGGGCCGCGGGTGGTGTCGACCCGCCCCGCCCGGCGTGTCCGGCGCCGGCTAGTTCATCTCCACCTCGGCGCCGTAGGCGTCGAAGGTGAAGTACTTGTCGTTGATCGTCTTGTAGGTGCCGTCGGCGCGGATCTGGTCGATCGCGGCGTTGAGGGCCTGGCGCAGCTCGTCATCGCCCTTGCGCAGGGCGATGCCGATGCCGTCACCGAACCAGCGGCTGTCGGTGAAGCCGGGACCGACGAATTCGTAGCCCTCGCCGGCCTCGGTCTTCAGGAAGCCTTCGTCGAGCACCACGGAGTCGGCCAGCAGCAGGTCGACACGCCCGGAGACCATGTCCAGGTTGGCCTCCTCCTGCGAGCCGTAGCTGCGGATCTCGACCACGTCGCCGAAGTTGTCCTGCAGGAAGGCCTCGTGGACGGTCGCCGACTGCACCCCGACCACGGCGCCGTCCAGGCTGTCGGTGTCGAGCGTGACCTTGTCGACGTCGCCGATCGACTCGTCGGCGCCGACGCCCTCGACGATGCTGTAGCCGGCCCCCTCCTGCTGCACGAACTTGGCCGGCGTCTGGTAGTACTTGTCGGTGAAGTCGACCACCTCCTTGCGCTCCTCGGTGATCGACATGGAGGCGATGATGGCGTCGTACTTCTCGGCCAGCAGGCCGGGAATGATCCCGTCCCAGTCCTGCACCACGAATTCGCAATCGAACTCGGCGGCCTCGCAGAGCGCCTTGGCGATCTCGACGTCGAAGCCCTGCAGCTCGCCGTTCTCGTCGATGTAGTTGAACGGCGGATAGGCGCCTTCGGTGCCGATGCGCACCGTCTCGGCGGCGGCCGGAGCGGCGAGGCCGAAGGCCGCGGCGGCGGCCAGGGTGAGTGCGAGTCTGCGCATGATGAGGATCCCTCTTCGCTGTTCCCTGTCGTGTGTCCTACGAGCCTTGAGTCCTGGCCCCCGGAGTCTTGGGCCCCGGAGTCTTGGCCCCCGGGGTCTTGGGCCCCGGAGTCTTGGGCCGAGTGTCGTCGCGGCCATACGGCGTCTTGCGTCTTGCGGTCTCGCCCCGCGCCCCGTCCACGCGGCCTCAGCCGGCCATGGCCAGGTGGGAGGCGAGGAACTGACGGCAGCGCTCGGAGCTGGGGTTGCCGAACACCTGGTCCGGCGGCCCCTCCTCCTCGACGCGGCCCTCGTGCAGGTACATCACCCGGTCGGCGACCTCCCGGGCGAAGCCCATCTCGTGGGTGACGATCACCAT